ATATATGATACTATAAATGTAGGTATCATAAGTAATATCGTCATAAATGTATATATATAATTTAGTCCGATTCTGCCCCGATCATGTAATTGCAATCCTTTTATCAAATATATCTTATACCCGATAATGATACTTAAATGTATCTAATATATATATTCATTAATGTATATAATAATTAATAGATTGCAGCCCGTTCCTGCCCGTTTCTGTCCGTTTCTGCCCGTTCCTGCCCGTTTCTGCCCATTTCTGCCCGTTTTTGCCCGTTCCTGCCCGTTCCTGTAAATCGTCTATCCGGACTTATCCGTACCCACCACCTATGGTTGAGCAGGGAGCAGTCATTTCGAAGTCCTACGTTCATAAAGCGATCTGTAGGCCATATCATATTTTCAATTTCAATATATCTCTTTGTTTTCTTTAAATTGATTTTATAGATATGAAGTTAGTTTGTTTTCATTCTATAAGGTCTATTTTAGGTCGCATTTACAACCGGAAGTAACGAACATATGATTCCACGAATTGTGAAAGCGAAAGTAGAAACCCAGTCCCGTGTCATCAGTTGCCAGATTGGTTTACATGGCCACCGGAAAAGGTTTGTATCCTAAACTAGACTTATTGGATAGATTGTCCTGTAATTCAGCTATATAGAACTGCTGTTCTGACCTAAAGACACATGTTTTATAAGGGTCAGACACGCTTTACGCCGATACATGTATGTACTTTGCGACTAAGCGAGTTGTCTCCAGGTACATCTGTGATTCGCGCAAAGTGTTCTATTTTACAGTTAATTACGCTCATAGGGTCGTGGATAGCTTTGCTGTTGATAAAGAAAAAATGATGCCTTCGCTACTCAAAAGTTCAAAAACAGTAGAGCTAGGAGATCGATCCCCCATTTTCCCGTGCCTGTGTGCCTCGTCTGTCAAAACACCCATAATATAAACTTTTTTATAGTATAGTTGCATTGACAGACGAGGGTAGTATCTGTGATTCTATAACAATATTCTATGTTTCAATATACTTAAACTTCATACACTTGTCGAGAAATGGGGTGAGTGTTGAAACACACAGTAACTACATGGAGTAGGGAACTGATCTCGGGTCCAAATATCGGTTAGAAGGTACTGGTAGAGAAAATGCACTCGCATGCTATCTGTATGAAGTCAGAGATGTCACATTGATGTTGTCAACGCAGTTAACAGTCTAAGGGAGATAGCTCTCCCAAAATTCATGATGCATTCTGTACATGTAAACCTTTGTCAATTTTTGTATCTATTTCCATTCCCTGCATACATATACAATCTATGACTTAATTTTGAATTAAAAATATAATGCTGAAGAAAGAAATAAGTACATTAACTTTTGAAATATGTAGTCATATCTATAATCCATGATTAGTCATACCCGGAAACATATATTACTGTACTATATTATATGTAAATTTTATATGTAGATTATCTAACAATATACATTAATGTTTATTGTAATTTTTGTTTTGTTAATAAGAAGTGAATCGAGGACCATGCAGTCATTTAAAAAGAATACATGTACATGCTGGATATTTGTATTCAATGTAATGTACAGCACAAGTTATAGTGACAAAATACTGATATCCTGGCATGTTTAGCTGTACCATATTAAAACCATAAATCCTAATGTGGCAAATTCCATATGTTATCATTTATACAGTGGCTGGATTAATGATTACATTTAGATGGCTGATTTTCTTGATCAGGAACTGTTAAAAAACATACACAATCTAATGGTTTTTTTTATGAACATGGATACTTCAAGGCCAACAACTCAACATCTAGCATAGGTCTCTGCACAGTGTTTATATAAAAGAAAACATATCAAAATATTCTAAAAGAGATGGAAGGTGTATTAAATTCAAGTACCTCTAAGAACCTACATCAGTTACAATTACACATTTAAAAACTATAAATGTTGGACACATGGCTAGCAAGTTTAATTTTTCACTGCATAATATATTATTATAAAGGAGTTGAACTAGCTAGTCACAGATAAATAATAGAGCAAGTCCAAGATTAAAAATGAAGCATGACATCGATAAATAGTGGAGATCACAAATGTGGGAGGTCCCACATAAATTGTGATGAAGGTCACAGATAATAGTGGAGGAAAATACAGAAAAACAGTGGAGAAAGTTACATATAAATAACGATTGAGGTCAAAGATAAATAGTTTAGAGGGTCACAGATAGCTATGTAGGTCACAGATAAATAGAGAACATAGATAAAAAGGGGTCACTGATACTGGAATGGAGTCACAAATAAGTAAGTGGTTTAAGGTAATTCCCTTTAACAAACTTGATAGGTTTTCATCTTCATCTAAGCAAGCTACTTGCCAATATCATCACCATACAGGCCTACAGGTTATGCAGAAGAAATTGTTGAAAGATTATAACAAAGTTAATGCATGTGACCTTGAAAGTTGGTATTTTGAGTAAATTTTGAAAGTCTTTCACTATCCCACTCAAGGCTTTTAGATTATACAGAAGAGTTTGTTTGGAGGTAATGTACAAATATGACCTCTTTGGGTGGAAGCCATATTTTAGCAAATTTGTTAGTCTTCCATTTCAGCAAGCTACTGGCCAAATATCATCACACTGAGCTTCTTGGTTATGGAGAAGAGGTGGTTTAGATAATTTTAACTCTTATGACCTTTCAAGTAGGTCAAAGTCATTCATCTGAGCATGCAACTGGTCAAATACCCCTACCATTAGCTCTAAGCCTCTCGGTTATTAGAAGATGTTTAAACTAAGGATAATACACCATGGCATAAGTTCACTAAGACCTTTTGGTCAGGTGAGCTACCTGTAAATATAAAAACCTCAACTAAAATGGTGTTATTTTTTCAGGAGGCAACATGGGAGGTTTTTTTTCTACTGATAAACCAGAGACTGGTTCTGTCATTCGTGCTGCTGATTCAGCTGCAGAGGAGGTTATCAAAACACAGGTAGAGTTAACATTATTTAATTGTTGGTGATGGTCTATCATCTTGAATTCAGACAACTCTCCCAACAAGGTCAGTTCAGTCATGTGATGAAATAAAATGTCAAGACCAAGACAAAGGTCAACGGTTTAAATATTATCTGTGTTGTGTAAGGTCAAGATCAGTTCTTCTATGATCATATCTGATAGAAAAAAGGCCGACCAGCGGCCTCTCATGTTATGGGAGTAGGATTAATCATATTAATGTAAATATACATATACATAATATCATAATTTTGTTAAGAACAGTTATAATACGTAAAATATATATAAATTAAAGCAAACTATCACAGGTTCCAATCCAGAGAGCAGGTGATTGGGACAGCCCCTACCTACATGTAACAAGCTCTCTGGATTTTATACTTACATGTACATATTATATACCATCATAAATTACATTTACTGCATTTAAACACGATGTCTTTAAAAACTAATAACAATAGTGATAATGAAATGAATAAATACATCAATTTGAAATACGTAGATAAAATTTCCTAGTTCTACCTTGTAGTGAAATTGAAGTTTCCAATGGTTGGGGAGCCCCCTACCAGCGAGGTCTGCTAAATGCACACATATATATGTTATAGCAGTTGGGGACTGTTTTCTCAGTAGACATAGTGATTTATTGCAGACAGATCTCTGTTGCTGAGTATAGTTTAAATAACTGGTTATAAGTTCCAGTGAATCCAATTAGATATCGGAATCCAAGGTTTAACTGGGGTCTTCAAATATGACGACTTGCCATGGGTTTCATATTGAGGATGACCATAATGTACCAGCTACTTGGGACAATTTGACTGCAGGTAGGGCGTAACAATCGTAAGAGGCGACTAAATGGGATCTTATCTTTTCTCTTCTTTCTAAACAACTTTCTTCTTCCTAATGGCTCCCTCGACAATGCCTCACTTTTGGCCATTAGTTGAGCATTCGCCCTGTGAGGAAGGCATTGGGTTCTGTCTCCTGGCCGAGACATACCAGAGTCTGTAAAAATGGTAGTTTCTACTCCTGCTTAACGTTCAGTAATTTAGGAATTTGACGACTGGTTCGCTCGTTGTCAGTATAATGTGACCGGGTGGGGTGTCCTGCTGGGTGTCTTCAGCAGTATGTTTCAGTGAGGTAGCATTATAAAGTCGGCGTCAGTTCCGCGCTATCACAAGGAGACAAGCTTGAACATACCGCAGCCTCCCAAAACACACACGCATAACCTACACGCATACATACACTACAGGCATACATCTTGCGCACAGGAGAGGCCTTCCTTAAATGACCATAGCTGTTGATTGGACGTTAAACAATACTAAACAAAACCAAACCAAAACCAGCTAGTTTTCTCAAACAAAATGCCATAGGGCCTTAACAGTCTCATATGAGCTGTAAGTTATTTTTCATTGTCGAGATTTGGAGTGGAAATTTAATCATGTAAACAAAGCAACGTATGTTATTCGTCATGTCACACAAATGAAATAAATAAATAACCTGTTTAAGACTTTTCAAATAAAGTATTTTGTATTAAATGAGAAATGATAGCTTTTGTTTTTAATTAATTTTCCCAATTTGGGCCCAATTTCCGATGACCCTTGATAATATCTACATTGTATACTTACCATCCAGTCATTATCATTCTAACCAAGTTTGCATTATTCCCTGCTGACAACTAACAAAAATTAGTCATAATTATTTGTATTAAACAATGTAAACTATTATATAATGTAGGCCGTAAAATATATCCCCTCCCCAAGGGAGAACAGATGACCCAGAGTAATAAAATGCACACCTTAGATAAAGCCCTGTATGACCTATTTATTCATGAAGAGTACTTGATTCTAGCACATCTAAGTAGGAGAAGAATTTATTTCCAGTCCGCTGCTGAAAATCGACAAAATATCGTCAAAAGTGATATTTCCAGTAGGGATATAACGGATAACCCGCGGATAATAAAATTTACGATTTAAGTCAAGTCCCTAAGGACCTTTCCATCCATGAAAAGTAGAAATTTCAATTTAACAAATTTTATTGACATTACCAATGAAATAAATACAGGCAAACATTTGTCTGCTGATAGATGTATGGGCGATAACAAAACTAAGGTTTGCTTGGTCTGTGATGATAACGAAATTGCGGTCAGTAGCGAGTGGTCATTTAACGTTTGGCGGTCAAAATGTAAAAGCATCTGTATTGTAACATGATATACATGTGAGGCCGCTATTGGGGAAGCTGACCATCAAAATGTTGGTTGCAATTCCAAAGCCAACATACATACAACCCTAATAGATATTATAGCCTATTGCAGTATGTGTAAGTTGTCAATTAAATTCCATCCGTAATTAATTGACAAAAAAACGTATTACAGGAAATAAGGAGACACCGTATTGAAAAAGAATTTTGTCAGCGTGAAACCAATCTTCATCGTCGTCGTCGACAGATTTTATTTCCTCCAAAGTATACACCAGGTAGTGTTTATTGCTTATAAATCGCAACATACTATCATAAAGATATATACTTTGCAAAGCGTTAAGAACTAGATAAGAAAACCAATTACGTAATTACCATTATTAATTATCATAAGCACACGTACATCATCATGTACCCCCGCAAATACCGGGGCCTCACTTGTTGTGCAATAGAAGAATAACTCAGCGATTGGTCAGACACCCCACGGAGTTGTAATCTGGTATCCTGTGTCCAACAGTTCTGGGAGCAAACGCGCTCAACGTGATTACTAATAAAGGCGATTTTCTAACAGAAGCTCACTGAAAAGCACAAAGTTAGTTTTTAAAACAAAATTAACTATGGATGCACCATCACAGCCTCGCAGACGCAGAAGAGGGCCTTATGGTAAACGAAAGTACCTGGATAACGATGACGATTTGGAATGTTACAGTTTCGGATTTAGAACTAGGCCTACTTACTGCTGTAGTCCCATGTACCGAAACATTAGAAATCCCTAGCTGTTCAAAATACGTCTCGCTCAGAAAAATGACTGAAGAACTTAAATCATCTGAAGTTACCGCCAATGTTAACAAGGTGAGTTTTAAAAAATAATAATTAAGAAACGTATATTTGCATTCGGCTCTCTTAGAAGAAATTACAGATACACCCCTTGCAACCGGCGAAAGATGACATGGTGGAGCTTCCGGTACAGCCCCGGTCCTAGTGAGGGCAGCGCAGCTGTGGGCGCATAACGATCACAACCGGCAACCAGATATTTCAAGCAAGAAGATCTGTAAAAATATAGATTAAGACAAGACATCCGAAGTAATGTTATTCATATGACTATATTACACACAATGTAAAAAAATCTGTTTGATGTTTGAAACTTAAGACAACAGAGTTATGACAAATTCGACTTGTAGCTGTCATGGCGGGCGAAGCTCACAATCTTGGCATGCAGATTTGTTTGTTACAAGATTTTCACGAAATCTAGATATAGTTTGGTTCAAGTGATTGGTTCTGTGACCAAAGTGGTCCGCTGTAAATTTGCTTGGATTCAGTGGTGAATTGTTTATTTTTATTGAATTAATTTTTAATTTCTTCTCCATAGAATTTCTGGGCCAACAAGAGTGATTCATATAAGTTGAAATAACTTGTTTCAAAATTGTTGTAAAATTCATTAAGTTTATATCTATTGTAAACTTTGCCTCAGCGTAACATGTGCAAATGAAAAGTATTTCTTTTTGTTAATTTGTATTTGCCGGGTTGAAATGTTACTTATCTCAACCAATTTACTGTGCTTAACTTTGGTATAACTTTTGCTTTGGCATAACACGTGCCTATGGAAGTTATGTTGTATTTTATTGATATTAATTATCAAATGTACCCATTACTTTTGTTGGCATGCATGACCTTTGATGAGCGATGCATTGCCCTTTGGTAACTTTGTTTGGTTGATATCGTTGGTCAGTTTGATATTTGGTAGCTTTCATATTGGCCTATGGTAAAACGAATTCATCACATGTTCACATATACATGAGCTGATACATCTGTGATAACCCCTTACCAGCCATCTATATGCCTCTGTTGCCCTTATAGTGTGGCTGATAAGCATTGTCACCAGTAAAATCATAATGTCTATGAGCTTCAAATGTACGAGGCCACTGGCCATTGTAACAATTGGCGGCATATCAGATGTGTGTAGTGTGTATTGATCTGTACGGTTAACGAAGCGTCGTTAGATAATATATTTATAGATTATCACACTGTATTTTCAGGGTTTGTCGTGAGAACATTTTTTCTCATTGCGAGCACGTGGATAGAAGCCAATTAGTTCGACCGACAAACACTGAAAATACTGTATGATTTACTATTTATCATCTATATACTCCTACCTTATATATTTCTCCGTTTAAAAAAACCTAAACTAAACACCATGTTTTCCAAATGACTTCTATGCTCAATGATCAACGATCGCCTATGACAAACGTAAACAAATAGAAGTTTTGCACGGAGGAATACAATGAACCTTAAAACTACGTAGATTTTTTTTTTAATTTTTAAAACAATCCTTACGTCATTGGTTTTCTCATATGCACATTTTCACCTGAGATAGTGTTTTTATACTCCTGCTTCGACGAAGTCGGGCGCATATATATATATCGTGTTTGCTTCGTCCGTCCGAAATGTTTCCGGTGCATATCTCCCGTACTATTTCACCAACGGTTATGAATCTTGATTTGTGGGTACATGCATGGAAGGCGGTATGTCGCGTACCATATGTAGGTCACTGTGATCTCTCTACCGTGACCTCTGACCTACATACATGTAATGTCGTCAGAAAGGTTTTCGGATTATATCTCCCGTACTATTTCACCTACGGTTATGAATCTTGGTTTGTGGGTACATGCCTGGAAGGCGTTGTGCATGGAAGGAGGTGTGTCACATACCATATGTAGGTCACTGTGACCTCTGCCGTGACCCCTGCCGTGACCCCTGACCTACATAATGTCGTCAGCAAGGTTTCCGGAGCATATCTCCCGTACTATTTCACCTACTGTTATGCATCTTGGTTTGTGGGTACATGCATCGAAGGCGGTGTGTCGCGTACCATATGTAGGTCACTGTAACCTCTACCGTGACCTCTGATATATAAACTCTTCACTTGATTCTTCCAATCCACATCCCTATCACTCCCACCAATTCCTGATCAATCAAAGTGGGGGTATTCACAAAGGCCCCCCCCTCCCCCCTTCGAGTTACATCTAGTAATTCTCAATACTTTTCCGTAACTTTGTTTTGATATGTTTATGACGGACTATTTTCTTACGCGGTCACTTTTGTGTGGACACTTTTTCCTGTTTCGGACGTCATCTGGCGCGAGCAGACGTTCTTTTTTGAGAAAATATGTTCCCAAGTGCTGAGGAATGGGAAAATCCGTTCTCAAGTTGTCCCCAGTCGTTCTCAACTTCTTATCATACTCAATTACTGACAACCAATGCTAATGAATTTATCATGCTACCGGTAGGTGGTATAAAGTAGTATATAGATGATAATGAACAATATTAAACAAAGTAAGGGGCTTAATGGTGACCCTTTCAGGTCACGTTCACATTAAGTTGTCACGCGTGACAATGCGATTCTTTTTTACTTCATACAGCTTTGTCCAAACCATACAGAACGCACCAATCCATGAATCTGAATATGTTATTACTTTGTTTCCAAATAGGTTGACAAAATCAAAGGATCAAGCGAAGTTACGGCAATAATTGCATGCAAAATGCATGATTTTGTCATTATGTCGTTATGCTCTTGTATCGTCTCCGCAGGTTCTGTCACAACACCTCTGTGATAGCAGGAGGGTGATAGACTCTCTAACCAAATGAGCTAACAGAGCCAAAATGTTCAAAAGTTAAAAAAATAAATATGTGACTAGCACAAATATTTGTATAGTGTATATTTCTAACACAGTAATTAACTGAGTTAAAACTTTAATCAGTGATTGACATACACTGTATTGTTTGTGTATCTTTATAACACAATAAATATTCCAGATTGCAAACATTTTAGTAAAACTACATATAAAATAACTAGTTTTTTTACCTTGCATATATCATCCTCGATACTCCATGGATTACGCTCCCTTGCGCTCTCTGCAAGGTGGCGCACACTGAGCCATAACATATTACAGGGGTTTAGAGAGCGTAAGTGAGCGTAACGCCTGGAGTATTTGCTTGTATATTATTAGAGGTTGATGTATGTTGTTAAACAGTGATTAAGCTAATCACTATTTGAACAACATGGCCCCGGTCACTGATAGTCATTACAGCTTAGTCCTGCTGTAAATAACATAATTCTTCATTTTACTTCAGGATGAAATACAAAAAAAGTTCAAAGAACTACGAGATGTTATCGGAAAACAAAACGAGAATGTGGAGACCTTAACAAAGACAAAGGCTCGTACGATGGATCTTTTCAATAACATGCAAAGGGATGATAATACTGGGCCTACGCATTCAAAAAAGACCTGTACTGGATCAGATCCTATTTGTGAACATTCTAAGGAAATCAAAGATTTAAAGAAAAGAATGAAAGAATTACGATCTACATTAGTAGAGAAAAAGAAGGAATTTGAGAAAGAAAAACAAACAATTGCGACAGAAAGGAAAAGGTCCCAAGAGGAAATAAGTGGATTGGAATCCGACAAAAGCCGTCTACAAATGGAAAAAACCCAGCTGGAATCCAACGAAAGCCGTCTACAAATGGAAAAACAACAGCTTGAATCCAACGAAAGCCGTCTACAAATGGAAAAACAACAGCTGGAATCCGAGAAAAGCCGTCTACAAACGGAAAAACAACAGCTGGAATCGGAACAAAGCCGTCTACAAATGGACAAACAACAGCTGGAATCCGAAAAGAAATCAAACTTACATAAAATTCAAGATCTTGAAAATAATATCAAGCAGGCAGAGGAACACATACGGCTGGCGAAGCAAAAGAAAGGTAAGGGTCCTAGCTTTGTGAACAGTTGTTGATTTAGGTCGCATAAAGAATACTCCAAACTCCTCTACCTGTACATGGATTGAAACATGGTTGACCCCGAGGTAATATGAAAGGATTTGGATGATCAGTGAATTTTCAATGATTGATGCCCTGCAATGTAAAGAGAGTTCCGACAGTCTTAAACCTTTAGATTCGAGCCGCAATAATTTAGCCCAGCCACATTTTCATTCTCTGTTAACAATGTTGAAAACAAATTGTTTTTGTGTTGAATTCGCTCGTCTGATGATTTAAAATCGCATATTATAGAAACTGTCTTAAGGATCCCTGTCCCAATGGATGCAAAGCAGTAGAAAATATTTAGATTTTCGTACATACAGAGCTGTCCCCTTTTGATTTCTGATAAAGTGAAAGATGACTGGAACAGTATACAAGCACTGGCCAGGGAGCTCAATAAGTACTTTCGTTACAGTATTGGAGATCAAATGTTTAAAACTTTGTCCGTTTCCGTTGTATTTTCATACCCAAAACGCTGTTGTTGATTTATATAACGTTTTCATACATTTTCTGCAAGGTTGATGGTTTCTTTGAGAAATGAACGGGCAATGCTTTATTGATGTCGGAAACAGTGTGTCCAATACATAGTTACAGTTTCCGGCAGTCATACATCCTAAATTACCCCCCCAACTATGCTCTGAACAGCTAATGTTGATTGTTTACATGTATGCGACTTTAAATAAAGTTTCTTGTATCTTGTATCTTGTTTGAAATAACATAGACGAAATATCAAAAAGGTTGAAAAAATAGTATGCAGTAAAGCGTATAGTTAGATATTTTATCTTGTGGCATTTGTATGGTAAGAATTATCTAGCCAGAATACGAACCACTTTAAGCACTTACAGTATAGATATACAACTCATACAGTTGGTCAATACACTCAATATACAGAACGGGTTAATCGAATTTTGTTTGTAGGGAGAACACTTTATATGAAAATCTTTAATACAATGACTTTGTGTTTTGAATTCTGGTTGCCTTCGTGGGAGGCAATAGTGTCAGTGTCATGCCAATTAACAAAATATATAACCACGGAAACAAACATAAACATGCTATTTGACTCTCCTTAGAAACTGGCCATTGAAATCTTCATTCAAAACTTATTATTTTTTAATTTCAAGTACCAGTATACTAGTAATGTAAACACTTACCCATCAATTTCTTCTGTCCTGATATTCACCAACTTACTGCAAAGATATTGATAAAAGAACGTATGTAAGAGTACATGTTGTATAAGGTACTGAATATACTGGAGCTTGTGGAAGTCCACAAAACTTAACGTTAAAATGTAGTCCTTTATTGAATGTTCATTATCATGAACAATGTTGGAAATATATCACTCCGAATACACCTTTTATTGCAAATTTAACAGAAAAAATGTACTTTTTAAATTATCAATACTGCAGATTTAAAGAAATACATGTATACCTGAAACTTGTTTTACTGTTGTCGCAAACTAATAATGGACGATGTGAAACTAGACTCTGATTAAACACACAGTCAATGTGAATCTGGTCAATGTCATGGGATGGTGCAACAATCAACACATTGTTTATAAAGCCTAGCTTGAATTACGAAATTAAAATATTAACAATCAGCTGTTCAATCCAGTCTAAATCATATCGATATATATTGTTCTTCTTTCTAGTTCGTGTGTCTCTGTACTCTGGGAACCACACGACCCTAATGGAAGCCTCGGCTGAGTTAAACAAGATGTTATGTTTTCACTGGGAAGCCCTCGGGATACTAGCGACAGTGGAGCCATGTCTCGATCCCAAGGCACACACAGGCACGACTCCCCTCATCATCCTCTGTATCAACGCCTCCCGCCTCGGTACTGACGTCAGCAATGCCACACAGAATATCCACTGTAAGGTCATAAGATTATTGGTTAAAATTACATTACTAAAATTAATAGGGTCATACATGTAGGTCAGCTACGATATCAAAGAAATTGATGTGGCATGTATAGGGGACATGGGTGATATCAAAGGGAATGTATCAGAAGTATAGCATGATCGTTTGCATTACTAGCCCAGTGCTCTACAAATTGAGATAAACATAGAATATATTATATCATGCTGTGTAAATGAATGGTACAATTGCTGTGTCGTATGTCAAATCACGCAAGCAGGGTCATAGACGAAGATTACAAATTAGTAGTAAATGAGGAAATAAGGGATATATAATCACATATCCCATAATAAAGTAAAGGAGTGTAGTTGAGTTGATCGGGTAGATTCTGTGTTAACACATGTGGTTAGAAAGCTAACGTTAGGGGAATCAGTAGCCAAACATGTCATTGGTTGTTTGTTCAAGACCCGGTCACACTGTCACGAGTTTGAGTCCCAAGTTGTGACGCGTTATAACTTTCCAGGACTCTGTTAACTCGTAGCCACAAATCGTGACAGTGCGACTTGGCCTTCAAGCAACATGTTCTGCATTTATAACCTATCATGTGAATGGTTGTTTTTTCTGTGACGTCAGGTGACCAGTCGGTAGCCGTTGTCATCCTCCACCACAAGGAATTACACGCCCTCCCGTCGCAGCCAAGTGAGAAACTCCTGGTAGGTGCTCAATACAGACAACTGGGGGCTATAGTGGACATTGCCTTCCTCAAAACCAAGGGCTTGTATGCTTGTGACATGAACGAGAAGGCACTGGACAAACTAACTGCGTTTATATCTAATTTCATTCAACAAGGTTAATGTTCAAAGTGCGACGTCATATTCATGTTCAATGTTAAAGGTCATAGTTAACAATACATCATATCCATTTGTAGTATCAGCAATCAAGGTTGAAGGTCAAAGGTGACAGTGTATTCCATATGGAGTATCAGAAAACTATGATGAGTATCACGGAGTATACCTGTGGAATAGCAGTTAACAAGGTTAATATCAAAATTGACAGCTCTTTCATGTAAAATACCGGCAAACAAGATGAGGGGACAAGGTTGACAAATCCTTCCTGAAAAAGAAAACCATACCTTGCAATACTTTAATGAAAATAGAATTTAGATGAAAAAAAATATAATCAACAACAGTGTTCTAAGCATTAACACTTAGAGGGACCAGACCTACATCCGAACCTAGGACCTCGGATCGTCAACCCTTCACTCTAACCAGCTGTGCCACCTGGTCAGCGGAAGAACCCTGTTATATCAAACACGAAATTAAGGGGAGGTTACTCGATGTACAAAAGCTGTGTTTTGCTTGGAGTAGGTGAGGGATTCTTAACTAATATACATGCAACTTGCATAGTTTCAACTATTGTATTTATAACACATTTTCCACATATCAACATGTGTTATGTTTGTATAATATATTTGCTTTGAGAAGGATTCCTGTTAAAACACGCAAATGAAATATATCGAAAAGGCGACGAAACCAAGCTTAATGTCACTCTACTTGCCAGTTAATGGTAAGGTTAAATAGAAATGCTCCCCGAGAAGTCTGGCAACGTGTGCGAACCACAGTTAGGGATATGTTATCGACGAATGTTGTTATGAAATATCTGTCGGTATTATATGTATTATAAATATGCAGGTTTACACTATGTTCATCAAGGAATGATTTCAGTAAATGATACATATTGCTGATGGTAATTAAATGTTCACGGCAACAAAACATCCACTCTAAATTTTCCATTGTTTCTTGTTTAATATTCATTGCTAAGTTAAGTTTGAACTTAAGCTTCACAATGACAGTTTCGGAAAGATCGGTAGAGTTAAGGCTGTATATATATATGTATATATATAGTGAGAATTAAAGTATGAAAACGGACGTTTTAGCGTGATAATGGCAAGGTCAGCTCTATAATTGAAATTTAAGATTGATAATAGGTGTATTGACACAAAAACCTACTCATTGGTATTGTGAAATACAGTACCATCGATATATAGATATATAGTACACGGAATCAACATATTTATATATATGATATATTTATAGTGTTCACAACAGCTGGAAGTTACAATACTGTATATATAAACCAATATAAAACTAATAGCTGTAAATACAGAGATTTATTATAGAAATTTCAAAATGCTCACTCGTTCACAAACGTATCTAACAAAGTTCTGGACCCTCTCAATTACAATAGAAATCATTCCATTCATTTCTATCATTTTTCCCCATATTCCAGCTTGTAATGATAATCTATCGATGCCCATTCGAAATTTACAAAACAATTGCATATTGTTCCGCAGAGCCGTTCATAAGTTCGACTTCAGATTCGCTCGAAAACCCTCATATGCTTTATAACGGTATCATTACATTGTGGACAGTGGATCGGTTTATTAGCTCACCTGGCCCTAAGGGGCATGTGAGCTAATGCCGTACTGCGGCGTCCGTCGTCCGTTCGTCAACTTTTTCTTTTAAACGACTTCTGAAGAAGAACTGGGGGACCTAGGGTCATGATATTTGGCCATTAGGTACCTGGGATGGAGTGCTATAAACTTTCCTCATTAAAATGACCTTGACCTACTTTCAAGTTCACGGGGGTCAAATATGTTAAAAAATTCAAACAACAATATCCTAAGAACCATTTGGACTAGAGTCATAATACTTTGGTATGTTATGAAGACCAGCAGTGCAAATCTTTTTCTAAATCACAGAAATGAGGTTAAAGGTCAACTCTAAGTGCTAGTCGGGGGTCAAATGTCAACATGGCTTAAAAGGTTTAACAATCTTCTTCTCAAATTCCATAAGGCTCAGGGTCATAATATTTGGCCAATAGGTACCTGGGATATAGTGCTATAAAGTTACGTCATTAAAATGACCTTGACCTACTTTCAAGGTCACAGGAGTCAAAAATGATAAAACTTCAAATGACGATATCCTAAGAAGCATTTAGTCTCGAGTCATGATACTTGGGTATGCTATGTAGACCAGCAGTGCAAATATTTTTCTTTATTACAGTAATGAGGTCAAGTGTCAACTTTAAGTGCTAGCTGGAGTCAAAGGTCAACGTTGGTTAAATGCTTTAAAATTACAATTTCAAACAACAATATCTTAAGCGTTTAAGAGATGTTAAAATGTCTTCTGTTCTAGTTACCACATTTGGTCTGAAGTAACCTATATGTCAGTTTCATGTAACAAAGGAAACAGGTGATCGATACAGGCCCTCTGGGCCTCTTGTATAGTAAATAAAAAAGCGAAGCGTTTTATAGTTTAAAACTAGTTAGATTTGGTAGCCCTATATACAATCGTTTTGGGATTTATTACGTCATACAACATGATTTGTTTCTACAAAATGATACGTTGGTTTTAGATATGAACCGAATAGCACCGAAGTCTAACTAAGTAATCACAAAATGGCGCAGGGCTACACGCCTCATATGTTTACTTCTCTTTTTATACATCAAAATATCATCTGTCACGATACCTTATGCTGTCCGTCTTTAAACTGATGACAGGATCTCAATGTGACAGACGAATTACACCGAATCAACATATTTGTACAATACTCCGCTCGATATTTGAGTAGTTGGCATCACACACACATTTGCGAGTCATCAACATTACCAGTAAATCGTAAAAGTGTGTTTTCCTTTTCGGTGCAGTTATTAATTTCTTTAATATCCATTCGTCTCATCATTTGTTTTAAGCAAAGCCATAGGCACACGGCTATGTCAAACGTGAAACCACATACAACAAAACCCTGCCGTTTATTTTTTTTAGATATATTTCTTGGTATATTTTAAACGACAGAAACATATAGAATACCCGTAATTCACATCTCAGCCCCAAATAATGCGCGAGAGTAGCCGGATGTCATTTCTAATTCTGTTTTAGTTCGTTACGCTACGATGTTTGGAAATCCTTCTATGATGACGTCACCGATAAATACATTTTTCTTGATATATGTAATACACGTATTAACACCATATGCAATGGAAAATAATGCCTCTCCACTCACCCACGTGTCTGGATTAACGTACTTGTCAACCCTCATACAGTCTCGTTTTACTGTATAATGTATTATCATTAAGGAATTACATGTATACGATTCTGACAGGCAGCTAAATTGCCATATATCATCAGCTCTTACACATGCATGACTTTTTTATACTAGGTAATGGTGTTTGCTACAATGTCCATTAACGAAGATTGTACAATTAACTAACATACGATCACTGCCATTGGTACATGTACTTGTAAATGATGTTGTTTTAGGAAGGCCGAACACTGTAGGACTTAACTCTAACTGGTTGGCTGAAGGGAAGGGTTTAATAGATAGCTCTTCTCTCTTACCTACTCCGTTTGTCTTGTTGACAGAATGATGTGACCGGCAAGGGTGTCATGTTGCTCGAACCAGACTATAACATTTTAGAATATAGGTGATGACAGCAACAACAAGCATTTCTGCAGAAAGAGTAGATCGCGGGTTCAAGCATGTACAAACTGTACATATTGCTTCAATACAATAATGGTTTACAACATTATTACAAACGTAAAATATATTTATACACTGTACCATTTAATGTAATGTCTCTTAATGCTGTATACTGGGAACTTTTCGCCGCAGTTTAATTTTCGCCTTTTTCGCCCTCCGTAATGATTGGGATATTTTCACGACAGTGACAATAAGTATACTTGTACAACATACTATCATTTATTTATTTATTTTTTAATATTAAGGAGGTTGAGTTCAGCGCGTGCCGAGACCCGTGTTGTGATTGGCTGGAAGCGCAGCCGTTTTTTCGCTAAACCACCGCACGCGCTGACCTCAACCTCATTAATATTAAAAAAAGTGGCAGACTGACTGCGAAAAACTTTGAAACTCTGAAATGCCACATGTTTTTGGAGGAAACGGATTTCATGTCCGCGGAAGGAGAAGACATTTTACGTGCATATAGAAAGTTTTTAAAAGAAAAAATATCTTTCTTTCCAACGGTACTAAGCATTTTCCCGTTGATCAACTAGACATAAGAAAGTTAGTTGGGGTTGACAGTTTGACATCGAGAGTTTTCCTCCCTTCTCGTATATATATGATCAAAGGGGTTGTCATTTTTACCGAAAGTCGATCTAAACCCCTAAAACATGTAAAATGAGTCTGAACATCTTAGTTTAGGTCAAACATAGCTGTTATAAATTCCCAGGTCCCTGTGTGAAGGACGCTGAGTGAGAACCGAAGCGAAATCAATCGTGGGTATCCAACGATGGGTGAACATTTGAATGGGAGAAATGTCCCGGCATACAGTGTTACTTCGGTCGATGTCATGTTTCAAGAACATTTGTTCCTCTCTATTATCGCTCAACATTTCACTGGTAAACATTACTTGAAGGGACAACATTGTAAAACTTACATAAAGAAGGGTGACATTTCATTTCATTTTACTGGTCCTGGCCTAAATAATTTTAGTTTAAAGGGCAAGGTTTCCTACAATGTGTATTGAAATGCAGAAGACATTAATATAACTGTGTTACAAAATCACACTTTGATTAGAAACTGCGGACGAATTATAGAGACTTAACTCTTGAACATTAAAAGGGAAATGCGAAGATAAGAATACCTTAAATAAGACCATTCTTAGAATATTGAACAAGTATCCTATAAAAGGGAGCCTGAAGATTTATTGCCATTTTCTAAGGATGAATATTGGTCCACAGTGGTCTCCAGTTGGTTTTGAACAGGGCATTAGTACACATACCAAGTATTTTCAAAATGTGTACCAAGAGCTTGACCCTATGTTGAAAATGTAAATTAACCAGCAGAAACAAAATGCCAGTGCAAAGCGATGGAAACGTTAGATGGCATCTGTCAATGAGGGTAACATGATAGAAAGCTCTGTATATTTCTATGATGCAACAGGTTCTATATGTTCTTCTATATTGGTTGCGCCTATGAGTCGTGTGGCTCCCGGCTAATAAAAAATCTGAAATCGGATGCTACGCAAGACATGATTAATAACCAGTTTGAAGCCGTCATGTAATTATTACTGTATAAACACATTAACATCAAAGAGACAAGGACTAACATAGGTAATAACTGTCGTTTCAATACTTGTTTTTTATCAGTTGAAATGAAAAAAGTCAACTATGAAACAGTCATCATCCCCGGTTTATATTAAGGAGGATTAATTATGCCAATTTTTGGAATTTTGTGTGGCGGCAAAAGATACCTGTTACAGTTTTTGGTTGACAGTTCCTCTACATCGAATTTACCGGAACCGGAAGTATCGATAACTAGCGAGTTTAACGAAAAGAAAGTATTAGAAATGAATATGCAATGAATAGCAGAGAGGTGTGGGATTTAAGTTTTATGTTTTCTTTGGAAGAATTTTAAACCGAAGGTACAGTGACAAAACATTTTAATAAATAGTTGACAGTGACCCCTTGACATTGACAATAACACCCGGAAAGACAGGGTATACGACGTTATATATGACTTTTGATCGAATTCGTTTCATCAATGAAGGAGTTTGAGTGATACAGATTTTACTTAGAACGGTTTTTGTGACATTGACCCGAAAAATTAAGCTTTTTCAATACATTCTTTATACTTGATAATTGTATCAAATTTGATCAAAATCCATTCAGAAGGCACAAAAGTCTATAGTGGTAGGACACCGGGCTCGTAACCAGAGGGCTGCGGGTTCGAGTCACGTCACGGAACTGTGTTGTATCT